GCTGCTCCGGCGGCCTGGGGAGCTGCTTCGCGGAGATAAGAGATGATAGGGTATCCGAGATCACATTCCCACACTCTGAATTTTCCAATAATGCCAAGAGTACTGACCTAACAATTAACTGTGTTGCAAAGGGGGCCTCTTCACCTAGCCCAAAGACAAACAATGCATTTCCACAACAAAGAATACTCAGAGAGGCAAGGAAATGCCTTCAAGCAACTACTACACACCGTGCAGATAACAATACAATAGCTGCTAGGTTCTTAAATAATGATTTTTCATCAGCGGCAGCAAATTCAGAGAAAGATTCCAAAATCCCTCATTGTATTGAATTTGCCACGGATTTGCCCTCTTTACAAACTGATCCTGAGGAGGATGCTGCTTCTCCAGGGGCAGCAGCAGCAGCTGAGCTCCAGTGCACTGATACAGGCAATAAGGCATTGCCATTCCTGCACAGCATTAAAATCAAAATAGAGGACAGCAGTGCGAACGACGAGTATGAGCCTGACCTTACAACACATAAGCTAAAGTGTGAGTGCAATGATACTAAGGATGAGTTTTACGGTGTGACTGAGAGTAATAACCAGGACGCTTTATTAACAGCCAAGGAAGATTCTGCATGCACTGAGAAAGAAACCACTTCCTTAAACCCGCTGACTCAGAGTCAGGTCCTCTCATGCACTTTAGGTACTCCAAAACCTGAGGATGGGGAGTATAAATTTGGAGCAAGGGTGAGAAAAAATTACAGGACACTGGTTTTGGGAAAGCGACCTGTACTGCAGACTCCTCCAGTCAAACCAAATTTGAAATCAGCTCGAAGCCCACGTCCTACAGGTAAAATCGAGACACACGAAGGAACACTGGATGATTTTACAGTTAACAATAGACGCAAAAGGGTAGCCAGCAATGTAGCATCAGCAGTGAAAAGGCCATTTAATTTCATGGCAAATTTTCCCTGTCCACCATCACTAATTATTGGCAATGATGGGGATTTGTTGCCAGCTTATTCCTTAAACACCACTAAGGATTCCCAACCACCTCACAAGGCCCATCCTGTATGGAAATGGCAGCTGGGCGGTTCTGCAATACCTCTTCCACCTAGCCACAAATTCAGGAAATTTAATTAATAAAATAGTTTGGAAAATATTTTCTTGAACCACCTTTAACTTTCTGACGTTTTTTTTAAACTCTGCAGGATGGTTTGTACAAGCCCATTAATGCTATACACACTTTCGGAATCCTGTTTTATCACATTGTGAAGACAGAAACCGGATTACTGTTTTCTTGACCGTTACGACAGTGGTTTTTTGTTTTGGTTTGTTTTTTTTTTTATTTTTTTGGTTCTGTTGCTTTTGGGGTCTTTTTTTTTGTTACATTCCACAGAGTACTTCAGGCTAAAGACTCAAGTTAAACTCAGTTATTATGGTAGAGCTGGAACACTTTACTGTTTAAATGCTAATAATGCACCAGTACCTCAATTCAACTGCTGCAAATAAATGTCAAAAGGTTGAATAATAAATATTAGAATGAGCCATTAAATTTATGCACTAGATTTCGAAAATGGAAGTCTAACTGTTAATTCAGTTAAAGTTTGTTAAGTTACATGGTTGCACAGTAAGGGTTCACTATAATTCAATGTGGCAGCAGCCTACTTTTCGGGAGCTTTGTTTTCGGGTGCAGGGGTGTCTTTTTCGAAGAGCAGTTGCACTTACTCCTTTTTCTCTGGTTTGGAAAGGCTGGGGTCGGCCCGCGACCCCAGCGCTGGGAAAAGCTGCCTCATCTGAAACCAGTAAATAAATGTGGAATTCTATTTTTGGTAAAAGGGTGTCTTTTTACTTGTACAGCCACTCTTTCAAATTGGGAAGCCTTTTTGTTTCACCCAGAGGTCTTAAATAAGGTTACTGTTACCCACTAATGTCATACTTAAGTTGTGGTCTGAACATGCCCCTTACAAACTTGCAAAGCAACTAAAATATTTGCCCGGCTAGCAGTACAATTTATGGTCCAGCCCCTCACGCTGGCTGGAGGAAATAGCAAAGCAGTAAATACAACACAGAAAGTGAAACGAGAGGCCGTAAGTGGAAAGAATACACAAAATGAGAAGACCGTGTTATTCATAGCTTTTTGGCACCAAAACTCAGGCGTTTCAACCGTGTTACACTTCCCGGTTCTATCCTCATCTCTTGAAATTTGTTGTCGTGGGGTTTTTTTTTGCCATGCCATCCTCTCTATGTAGCAGAAACATTTCTACTGCACGTGACAATCAGAGGCAATTATCTATATTTGCACTTAATATCGAAATAGTCGAACAGGCAGACTTCTAGAGTCTAGCCCTCGGTAAGACATGCTGGTATAATATATTGTGATGATGGAAGCAGTAAATCAAAATTATGGAAATTTGCACTGTTGAAAAGCATGCTTTAGCTTTATTTTCAATTAAAAACACTGTTTAAAAAAAAATCCTGATTCCATACACTTTGAGTTATTGCAGAGTTATCCGTGGTTTCCTCTCCGTTTGTAAGTTCACTGTTTTTATTTGGAGGAAATACGCTTCAAGAGGTTAACTGTTTCCCTCCCTCCCCCCCAGCCCCTCGAAAAGAAAGAGAAGGGGGGGAAAAAAAAAGAGAGAAAGGCTGGAGGCCGAGGTGGAGGCAGAGCTGAGGACGGGGGAAGGTCTCTCTTGCGGGGGGAGGACGGGTACAGCAACTCTGAAAACAGCCTGAAAAGTTTGCAGCTTGAGAAAGGCAGTTATAATTGAGTTGCTGAATCAGCAGAGTTTAGGATGAATAATTGCTGGTTTCTTTCTTCGGATTAGCATTTTATTTATACTAGATCATCCCCAAATTAAATTTTAAGGATTCCACTCATCGATCAATCCCGGGAGAATAATTTATCGTAAATCAAAAAAAGGAAAACAAAGCAACAATGTAATGTTTACCGTGTGACTCAAAGTCAACATTTCTGATGGCAATCCACTGCCTGGGTTTCAATTTTTTAATTCCTGCCTTTTGTGATGCCCTCTCCCAACCCCTCGTGTCTCTAAATATTCCAAGCAGTCACTGACTGATTTCAGCTCTGTTTACTATATCCACACCGTAGTTTTCCTCTCCTCGTAAAAGGCCTAGTCTAAGAATACCTGCAGCCAAATATATTTAGAAAGAGTAAACAATTGCCTTTCAGTGGAGTTACCCTTCCCCCCTGCATGCACACACAGACACACACACACACACACACACACACACACACACACATACACACACACACTCACACACACATCACTTTAAACTGCCAATTGCAAAAGGTGCATTGCATACTTAACCGCTCTGCTGAAATTACGATGGTCATGAAAAATCTGCTTACTGAAGTTGTTCTGAGATGAATGTTTACATTCGTATGTTTAGAGCTGCACAGATTACAGCCTTATTTCCAGAGAACTGTAAATACGTACAAAATGTACTGCTCAGGAAAGCCCCCCGCTCTGTCAGAAAGCCGTGTCTGCTCGACAAAGGTCTTCCCTTGACCAACAAAAAAAAAAAAAAAAAAAAAAAAAAAAAAGAAAAAAGAAAATCAGGGAAAAAAAAAAAGAGGGGCCAAACCCAAAAGCTACAAAGGTGCAATATGCAAACTTGAAACTTAAACTTTTGCCTTGTCAATTAAACAACGTATTACTTTCAAAGTAACTCCATCCCCTGACCCTGTTTACTTCCAATTAGAGATATGCTGATTTGGCCAGGAATTGTAAATTACAGAGGTGCCTTTTCAGGTTCCCGAAATAATCCTGGGAGGGGGGCAGGGGGAGGAATAAGCATAAATTTATACCAAATAGACTCTGCAGAGTTGAGGACGTGAAATATGGCGCCCAGCCCTGCCAGCGGCCCGGCAGCTCCAGGCCCGGGAGCGGGGCCCAGGGCGCCCCGGGCCCAGCACCCACCGGGCATCCCCGGGCAGGCTGCTCTGCCGGGCTCCCCGCCACGCAGGCAACATCAAACGGCAAGAAGTTAAACAGCCAAATAATTTTCACACGTGTACACCTCAGTTTAGTGCAAGCCACTAACAAGGACATTCGTGGTTTTACTACCGTTGGAGAAATTAGCCAGGTACAATAACTCACTGGGGGGAAAAAAAAAAAAAAGAGGGGAAAAAAAAAGGTATTCTGTCCAGTTCTGGTAGTTTGGTAACTGTTTCTGATGGCATTGTAATTATTATTGCGAGCAGAGTTCATTATCATTTCAGCCTTAATAATATAAAGTCATATCATTGAGTTACGCAAAAATAACCAATTTTCTCCCATAAAGGTAAGTTCTGATAACGAGGAAAAACAAAGGTTGTTCAAGTGAGCCAGGTTACCATTTTGTTGCAATGTTTACAGGAGGTAAAACTTAAAATGTATTAGTAATGAATCGCCACCATTTTCCAGTTCTTGGTGTACACAAAAATCAACAGAATTTTCTAGAGGAAAAAGCAACCGAGGGAAGCGCGTGTACTTTATGGACTATACTCCATAGGTATTTGCCACAAGTAGAGTTCACCAGTAAATTTATTGGGAAGATTTCTGCTGCCAGATGGAAGACAAAAGAAAGTTTTGGACTGTGTTTAATTCTCTAGAGCATTAAAAAGGGAACACGTGTAATGCCTTCGGCAACGAGGTATATTGCCTTAAAAGATGTAACTTGCCATTTACAACAATTTACTTTAAGAAGTGATTGTTCTATAACCTACACTTACTTGACTACAGTGGGATAATCTCTTTACCGGTTGTTTATTTAAAACGCCACTACTAGCAATAATGCAAAATAGTGGTAGCTGTTGTATGAAGTTTGCTGTTCAATCAATTCACTTGGTGATTTTTTTTACATGGTCTCTGATCCTTTTTCCTCTAACAGATTTAGTTGCCAATAAATTAAAGTTTCTGCAGAAATGAGAGCAATGCTATCACGTTTGTGTTTGTCACTGTTCATACGTGCGAGCGGTCGAGACAGAGAGGGGTAAAAAAAGTGGCATTTTCGGCACACGGCGGTAATCTGCAGGAAAATATTCTACATATGCAGCGCGTTAGAGAACATGGAACACGGATAACGTTGTTAATTGTGGTTTTTATGGCTGAGAGGCTTGCTGGAAAGAGGACGTAATGGCTCATCCTGGGATCTATTTGGTCAGCTTGGAAGTACAAAAGGAGGGCGAGCGCCTGCAAATCAAAAGCCCTGGCTCGCAAAATAAGGAGGGAGGCATCGGGATCTACCTTGCTGAAGTCACGCCCGCAGGCATTACCCCTTCCCCTGCCATTCAGCCCCGCAGCCGCGCTTCGGGAAAGCGGGGCCTACGGGCCCCGGGGCTGAGCGCGGGGCCGGCGGCCGCAGGGCGGCTGGGGCTGGCGC